GTTGTATTCTGGTTCAGCCAAACAATTAGCATTACTATAAAAAAAATAGGCTCTGTCAGAAGGGAGGAAGACAATTTTGGATTACATGTACTCCAATTTGCAGGAATGTACGAGATGCCGGATTCAAGACAAGAAATAACTACCAGTGTTTCTTATTGCGATTACATGTATTCTTTTTGTAATCCAATGCGCGTGAACACACGCAAAAACAAAATCGAGCAACTCGACGATTACCTGTGAGGCCACCGTACGGTACTAGTACACTTTGTTAGCAAGAATTTAATGTATTTGTTAGTAAGAATTTAAATTTGAGCATTCTCTCAAGAATCCAGAAGCTTACATTACCGTACGTTGCGTACATACGGTAACAAGTACTTCACGTTATGTACTGTCTTGCTGTAATTGAATAGGATCTAAAATTGCGGMKTATCGAAAAGCGAGCCATTACTCTASGAAGTAATTGTGTGCTGTTGTTTGTTGACATACTTCGTCTGATTTTGTTGGTGATCGAACGAACTGACCAGTCGTTGGAGCTTCGGATTGATTATGRTCGAGGAAGGGGAAAAGTCGTTGGAGAGCAGCTTTCGATCTTGCATCTTTTCAGCTGCTCCTGTTACGAAACGGACCAATGCTGCAGAAACAAACAACGAAAGTTGTGATTCGCTGTCGAGAGGATCCCAGCGCGTTACGTCATTCTTCGTCGATTCTTCAGGGAGATCCAGTTTTACGTTGCCACTCCAGATGACCTTTGCTAACAAGAATGACCTCGAAGAATTATTAGCAAGAAAGTGTTTCGATCCACCACCCCGCAATCTCGCTTCGTCGAATCCCGTCGCAGGTAACTCTTCAGATAAAGACGRTGATGGTATCCGAAAAGATCAGCCGATAGACTCGAACAAAAATAGCAAAGTCGAGGCGTCCATTGCCTTCGAGGTGAAAAGCTTTCCGATCGATGAGGATGATCCGACTAACGTCGTAGTCGAAGGAGTCTCGATATTGTCTTGCTCCGTAGCAAACTTGGTCGCGACTTTCAAGGTAGAGATKACAGTGCGAGCAACACCTGTGGAACCGTCTCATACTCCGGATAGAAGCACTGCAGATTCGCGTTTACCGGTATCTCCTAGTTTCTCTTCTTCTCCGCGTCMMACCAATAATATGGATACTACCGAACCTGAACTAGGATTGAAAGAACAGGAACAGCARCAAAGTGTTTCGACCCGGTTGGAAATTACTCCAGTGTTGGCAATCGAGAACAGCCCGACTAGTGATAAGAAAGAAAATGATAAGAGCAAGAGCGACTTGGGTACCGATCTAATGCTACTGGAATTGGCGGCTATCCCGGATCAAATGCACTACAACAAAAGCAACGAGGGTCGTCCAAGTATTTTGAGCAGCACAAACGAYAGAGTTCACGAGACAAGGCTTTCGCCTGTTTTGACRGACGTGACATTGACCAGCGCATTTGTGATTTCGGTAAACAATCTTTCCGGATCCAATAGATCAACAGGGAACAACTTTGTTTYGTTAGCTATTCGGCATTCGAAGACACACAACTTACCCGTCACAATTACCAACATTGCCTTTCACCCTGGTCATTCACGACACAACACGATCGTTGCCCAAAAGTCAAAGAAGAATAGCAAAGACAAGATCTCGCCTTCGGTGATACAGCAGACAGTTTGTAAGTGTAACAGAACTGATSAATCGATTGTGGTTGCAATGGCAATTATAGTAACTCATAGCTCAAAACTTACTTCGCAATATTGTGTTGTAATCCGTTATCCATTTTCCGTATTTATGTCCTTCTTGGAAACAACCCAAATATCAGCAAACATGACAGCATCAGTAGAATGGGGATATATGCCCAAAACTGAGCTCAAGCTTCCKCTGACAATATTACCACACGAGGCCTACTCTTCCATTTTATTCATCAATGCAGGAGAGGAAAGAATCAGCCGACAGTTCGTCTCTCCTTTATCAGTAACCGGTGTAATCAACATGAATACTTGCGTTGAAGGTGATTATTTAAAGGGGGATATAAACGACTATATCGATAACGGTGTTCAAGAAGAATGCACAGTGGTAGTTGCTGGGGACGCTCATTGGACTACTAGGCTAATTGCAGTGGAACCAGCTGATGCTTTTCGAATTGATATGTGCACCCTTGAGTCCACCGTGCGTAGAGGGGAACCTATGGTAGTAAAATTGCGAATTTTCAATCTCAGTCTAGAACCGAGAAATTTAATGCTCTTCATGGCGAAGAAAGATCCCGACGGAGTCAAGGAAGTATCTGTAAATTCAGCAATAGTAACCGAATCTGATGGATACCGTTTCGGCGTCTGGGGCATATCCGGAGATGACGACGGCACAGTGCGATTGAATCGAGACCACGACTTGTTAGCAGTTGACACCGCATTAATCCTTGGGGATTTACAAGGCCAGCATGCCGTGGATGCTGAATTGCGATTTGTTCCATTGCATCTCGGGCGGTTGAAGATCCCGAATTGGAGGTTGTACGACAAGATAGCAAATAGGTGGTACACCTGCAAGCATGATCTCACTGTTGTGGCTATATGATGAAACAAAGATGAAGTAAGTCTGCCGTTACCAACTTTCAAGCTATCATTCGATAGGTAAACGATTCGCTAGTTTGAAACAAGTACGCTGTGATAGAMAATGCCACCGTGAGGTCTTTGTCAAACAGTAGTGCTAGACCATTCAATACTTGTACTTGTACAATCTTAATTTTTTCTTAGTAGAGGTATTACAGTATAATAATATAGCACCCCTCAATGTTTTATATTGCGAGGCGCGAGAAATGAATGTCTCCAAATAAAGGTAGGAACTTCAACCAGAGCGAACTGCACCAATGGCCTACAAATGGATTGTTATCTTACGACACCAAAAAGTCGCACCTTGAATCAATCGTTCCAAATAGAAAGTCATTATTTGTAAAATGMCACRARGGTAGCTTAGCCGTGGCAGATGAGATGTGGTTTAGATACCGCCAAACCATTCCATCAAAAAGGACAAAAAGCCATCCTTTTTCTTTTTGGAACCCCTTTTTGAATAGACGCTTATATCCGGAACATTGGTGTAAAAATTGCCGGTGCAGATGTAATATAATGAATCATATCGACAACTGCAAGACACATCGGGACCCATTTCGTAGTACATGCACTTCTTGTATTTGTAAGGCTCAACCATTACGCATGGCGTTCCGCTCCTTGGGAAAACTGCGGGACAGTTGATTTCGTCGTACATTTCTTTTCCGGCGGGAGGTTTGGTTTGTGGATTCGTGGGTAATTTAGCGGGTCGGTCGGCTTGTGGGTTCGTTGGCAATTTGGCGGGACGATTGATCGGTGGATTCATTGCTTGTGGGTTCGTGGGCATTTTGGGGGGTCTTTTGATCGGTGGATTGGTTGCTTTTGGTGTGTAGGCCTCCACGTCGGGAGTAATCACAGCTTCAGGAATCGAASCTTCCTGATTGACTGGGATGGTCGGAAAAKAAGTCGACGGAACACTTGTAACCAACCCATTGATAATGGTATTGCAATCGACATACTCCGGAGCACCCTCGGGGTCGACGCTACAAATGTTGTCTAAAATCCAATCGTAGTGATACGAAACCCGCGTGTACACGCCTGGAAACTCCATGTCGCTACACCCGTATCCCCAAGATACAAGCCCTACCAATAGATCTTGATCGGGTCGATCGAGAGCATCCGGGATAAACATTGGGCCACCGGAGTCTCCTTGGCAACTGTTGGTCATTTAGGTAAAAAAAGTAAGCGTGTGAGAAGCAAAGAGATCATTCCGATTCTTTGTATTACTTTGMGACACAATGCAACTCAACATACCTATCTCCACCAAGCTTCTGAGCGCAAATCATGCTATCAGGATCGATGTATTCTGCGTCTCCGTGTGGCACATATGGTTCAACGCAATCCGCGAAGCCGACGAGATCGAGCTCGGCTAGTTTCAATTCTAGAGGAGCCGTCTCTTTTTTCCTTGTTTTGTGCAAATATGCCTTGGTGTCACCGATTCCGATCACAGCCATAGATGACGACAACTCTGTAATCTTCACTGGACTCATTCGCAGATAGGGAGTATCAATAAGGTCTTCGCTCAATTGGTATAGGCCGATGTCGTTGTTCATGTGACGATCATCGTACCCGGAATGCAATACTTCTCTTGTATGGGTGTAATGCTTCCCATTGATTTCAAAAGAACTACTTGCACCTGCGCAATGCGCTGCGGTGATGACCCACCGCTTCGAAATCAAAGCTCCTCCTGTGCCGATTCAGAAAATGAAAGAGTAAGAAATTGTACAGCCATTGAAAAGGRGACAGTAGAAGCGTATTCGCATTCCAGATCTGTTGCAAGATAGCACTTCTGTTCAATAATTATAGGACTGCACGTAGCATTCGTACTTACCACACATGATTTTGTCATGAAAAACAGCAAAGTATGGGTAACGTTCTTGCGGATTCGCCACAGTTTCTCCACCCACAATTCTGGGTTTCCGATGAGGCTGCTTGTATTTTATCGTTTTTTTATTCAAAGAAAGAAATGAGTTCAACTGGGATGGATTGTGTGCTGAAGAACATCCAAATCTGAAATGCCGATGGCTGGATGGCCAATTTTTGCCTTTTGATTCCTATACGTACCAAATCATCGTTTTCGAGGCCACGCAGCAACGGTTGTCTTTGTTCAGAAGAGACCGGCGGTGCAATGAGAGCAATTACAGCTAGCAAAAGCCCGACAAAGTGTTCTTTTCCGATCGATGAATTCATGGGTTTTCTTCTAGGTCACGTTGGGTAAATGTGTACTTCTAATAAATATTTGTGTGGGATCGAATGAAAGTTTTGCTGGTGTTGACTGTGGCCTGAGAAACAATTGGAATAAAACTTTCGGTTGCACATAGCACGACAGCATTGTTTTTTCGGTGATCGAGACAAACTCATCATCAACCGATGTTCTAGTTTCTGGTGTTTGCGGGTGGTTATTGGAATGCGAATATGATGTGAGCGTGCTCCAAAAAATGCGATAGATAGTACTGTAATACGTAATACATCAAGTCTGATGATGACACTCCCTCTCCTTGGACATGATGGTACATCACGAGAAGTTCATTGCTTCCAATGATATTGATTCCTTTGAGAATCGGGTCGTGTTTTTAGGACTCACATGAAAAATCCGCACGCTTTCTGTCTTGGTACAGTTAGAATACGAAGGATACGAKCGAACGACTCGGTCGTAACAATTGGATTGGACTTCCGAGCAAACACACTTTTTTTCCGCAACCGGCCAACRAAATTACCGTACGTACGCGTACTACTAGTCGTACAAAGAGAAATGATGGTGCTAGCTACGTGGTGATACTTCTTCTTCTTCCACTACTAATGAAGAATACTTCTACTACTACTACTACTACTACTACTACTACTACTACTACTACTACTACTACTACTACTACTACTAATTGAGGCTGGCAACGACTACATTAAAACAGTTTTAAGCCTTTTTCACTGCCTATAATAAGCCCCTGTCAGAACCTATAGGCAAAGTAGTAGTAATAGCATGCACAAGGTAAATGGATACACAAGAACACCACCACCAGTAGTAGTAGTAGTAGTAGTAGTAGTAGTAGTACTAGTAGTACTAGTAGTACTAGTAGTACTAGTAGTACTAGTAGTASTAGTAGTASTAGTAGTAGTASTAGTAGTACTAGTAGTACTAGTAGTACTAGTAGTACTAGTAGTACTAGTAGTACTAGTACTAGTACTAGTACTAGTAGTAGTACTAGTACTAGTACTAGTACTAGTAGTACTAGTAGTAGTAGTAGTAGTAGTAGTAGTACTAGTAGTACTAGTAGTAGTAGTGGAAGAAAGAAGAATGCAAGAGGAAACCCAGCACATTGTATTCTGGTACTACAATGAGGAAAGGAGACAGTAAACTTCTTTGTCATCTTGTGAATAGTCTTGATTGCACTGGGTGGTATTACCAAAATCACCTGGATAGTAGTAGTAGACTAAACAATTTTGAAGTGTTTGTAATCAAGTGTTGGTAAAAAATAGTAGTACTGTTTGACTTGTTGAAGTAGCACCCAAAATGGTCTTGATAGTATGGAGGAAAATTTAAATTACTGATCATGTTTGACCCCTTGCGTCAGCTGATTGACCAACTTGTTGGGGGAGGAAGTCAATGGTACACTAACAACAAAGTACCTTCTGATACAGACCCCCTTCCCTGTTTTCTGACCACCCTTGGGATTACTGCCCCTCCAAGCAACTAGTAGTAGTACTACTAGGAGTATCCTTCTTTGTAAAAGAACCGACATTTTGTACTAGCTATTGGAGTTGCACTGCTGTAAGTAGGTAGTGTGATACTAATTTTCAAATGTGTAAGCAAGAGCTTTTAAAAAAGATTAAGTTTTTTTGGTATGATTATTACTGGGATTAGATAATATGTTGCTAGGCAGAAAACAATCAGAATTTGTATTTTTCTAAAATTCTTAAAGATAGTATATTTAACCTTGCTGTGAACTTGCTGGAAGAGGTACTAACAACACTGCAGAAAGTGCACTTGTTGAAAGACCCCATGCACAGGAACACTTCCCATCACTCTCTGAATTTCAGACTTTATGTGGAGACCTCTCATATATTTGAGAGTCAAGTASTAGTAAGTGTTTGTCAGGTGTTATTGTTGTTTGCATTTCAAAATTTGAAGTACCAACAAAGGGCTGGTGGTACTAGTTACAGGCTAGTACATCATAGTACTGTATTTGCAGTAGAAATAGTCTATCCTTTGTCCAGTCAGTCCCACCAGTCTAGTCCTTTGCAAATTTCTTTGTTTTGTCTGTCCTTCATGTTTCTCTTACTAACTCCTCCCCAGTAGTAATTTCTACTAGTAATAATCTAGTCACTACTACTAGTTTGTCAGGTGTTATTGCTGTTTGCAGTTCAAAATTTGAAGTACCATCAAAGGGATGGTGGTAGTAACAGGCTACTATTACTAGTACATCATAGTGCTGCATTTGCAGTAGAAATAGTCTGTCCTTTGTCCAGTTCTTCCCACCAGTCTAGTAGTCCTTTACAAAAAAATTTGAGTTGTCTGTCCTTCATCTTCTCATAGTACTAATTCCTCAGTAGTAATTTCCACTAATAATCTAGTAGTCACTACTACTACTACTATTCAACAGTGAAATAGTAATATCACAGGAATCAATTTGATGCCTAACAAATTGGTATATTCAGAATCAGTATTAAAAATTGGACCAGATARTATGTTCAAAAATTATACTTCTGGTATTTTTCAAAAAGTTATAGTAACCACTTGAAGGTTATAGTTTTCAAAACAAAATTTTTCAAACRCACAAAATTACACTTCGGTTCTTAAAATTATCACCACCTAGATTTCCTACTGCTTCCTACATACATAAGTACCTGACAAGCATTTTCTGGTATCCAAACCCAATATGRTGACATCCCCTTCCAAAGGGGAAAACCCACCTCCAACCAACTCGTCCTTTTATGTCCTCTGAATCAAGCRACCAGCCTTAATTGGCTTGTCAGTGTGCATATAACCTTTTCACACCTCCAGCACAACACCTCCTCGGAGGGAGGTACTGCCTCTTGTAGCAGCTACTAGTAGTAGGAGCATTCTTCTCCCTGGTCCGGAGAAGTCATGGTTCTGGCCATATAGTGCCTCTTCTAGTTCATGAGGTTAAATATTATTTTAGGATTTTTTTTAACCACTTGAAGGTTGGGTAGTATTACTCAGATTATGAAGTGAAAAAAAGCTCTAGTGAAATTTTTCTTATTGGTACCAAGGATGGAATATGAGTTTTCACATCATGCTGCAGAAGTTTTCGACATTGAGCATCCCTCTAAAATTATGACCCCAACTACTACRGACATACCGTATGCACTCATAAAAAATAATACTACTACTAGGCGTTTTGTAACAATTGAATACGGCCGTGTCAGCAAGCAAGTGCTCTCCAGTTAAGACTTAAAGCATTAAATCAAAGTTATCATCTTTGAATCAAAGTTGTCATCTTGCAGCCAAAGTTGCCAACTATTCTACGTAGGCATAAGTAGGATCAGTACTAGCCCCGCTATGGGCACACCAGCTGGCCAACAGCTGCTCAGCGGGGGGGGAACAAGAAGCAAGATTAGCTGTTTTGGATGGTCTGTAGTACAAGAGCTGTGTAGAAAATGCTGTAGAAAATCATGAATCAAGGTAGAGTGCACTGCAGGTTTTGGTCAAAATGGAAGGGTTTTGTCTGCGTGTTGAAAATGCTACTGAGGCCTACTGTCTTGACCTAAACCTGCCTCCACCATGCTGATTTAGCGTGCTGCTATGCTTACCTGTTCTTTTCATTCCATGAAAAAACATGGTTCAAAGCAACTGACCATGGGAATCAGCTTTTAGAGCACTTCCACTCAACCTTTTCTAATGTAAGTGGTATCAATGGATAGTAGCTCTCTTCAATTGTCGATTTAACAAGCCTTGAACTGTAGCAAACAAGCAAGTGTGACCCATTTTATTGAGTATTCAGTGTCAGATTCTTCTTTTTTCTGACAACTTGCTTCTTTTTGTCATCGGCAACACCAACCAGCATGAGCAACAATAAGAGACCCTCRGGGGCCCCTGTCCCAAGCCTTCCACTCACCCAAACCAATCCACTCTATCAAGCAGCCTATGCAGCTTTGCAAAGAAAGAAGTTCCTTCCCCTTGCAAAGAAGAAGAAGCATCTTTGTGTCATACAATCAATCACTGAAGGGGATGTTGAATCTGTATTACCAGACATGAAGCCAAGGCCCTTAGACAAGAGATGCGCCTGCTCCATGCTAATGTTGTCTCTGCCAGTCTAGGCAAGAGCAAGCAAGAGAAGGCCTGGAGRTCTCACTAGCTAWGCTTCTTCCATCTTTGCATCTGTCTATGTTGCAATGGAAATGAGGAAGGGGATGGATTTGCCTACCCCAAGCATCCAGCGTGCTAGCAGATCAAGGAGTAGCAACAGTACAACAGCTCTTCCCCTCTTCTGGTTGATCACCCAAGCTGTMAGGCAAGCTGTGGACAAACAGGCAGATGAAGCCATTGACAAGCAGAASAAATGATCTGCCATCAAGCAACAAAGGGATGGAAAAAGAAAGCAAGACAAGATCCCCTTTGATCTATCCAAGRCRGAGTCCTTCCCTTACCCTAAGTRTGGATGTATGGCTTGTGTGCRAATCGACTCTATTGAATCATTCAAGGAAAGGAACCAAGTGGTGTTTGACAAGTACACCCAGGAGATGGAGGAGTATGAGAGGAATGGGGGGAAGAAGCCCAAGTATCCAACATCATTAGCACAGAGATTGGTTGCTGGACATACAGGCTCCATTGCAAGTACCAAGCAGATGCAGGGAACTGTCTTGAATGCAGCAAGTCTGGGGCTGATTACKTGCAGTGAGATGCAGATGGTAACAAGCCAGCTTGCTCTTGTCCTATTTGCAATTCCAGCTGCTCTATCCTCTTCAATAGACACGACTTGCACTGACATGACTTGCACAAGGCTGCTTTCCAAGCTGATAAGGACGCAACCAAGCGTCTACAGAATGAGCAACCATCTAACTATCCACAGCTCTTCAACCATTTTGTCACCTCCACACTGCAGAATGGTGTCATTGATGCAGCAATAGCAACAGGACGTCCTGTGGATGATCCAGCAAATATTCAASATGCTTAYGGGTATGCAGGGAGTAGGTTGCTTGCTGATGATAGTATCCAGGGGAACTTGACTGTGAGGGATGCTTTGAAAGAGTACAGACCAATGGGGATGCAGACCAAGGACGGTCTTTCAATTCACGCTCTTAGGAAGGGTAGGATTGGAGCAAATCCAAATCCAAATCCAGCAGCACCAAGGGGATTTCGTATTCCTAATCCAAGGGAATTGCAACAGTGGCACTCGCAGAGGCAGCCTCAACAACAGGCCCCTGTTGCTCCCCAGCAGCAGCA